AATACTAGAGACTACGAGCGAAACAGAAAAACTGAAAAAAACGCTAGAGTTATGCAGATTGTTTTTTGCAGAACGTACCGTGCGCAACACTCGGCAAACACTAATATATTAAGGTAGTTATTTATAGAGAATGTTTGATCCGTACGTTTTGGGAGGTATTCGAGGTTAATTCCATTGGCCATTGGGCTATGCCAGTACCGAGATGCCGAGAGGAAGCGAGAGCGTGCGTTTTAATTCTCACAGTTTGCATCAAAGACATACCAAAAAAGAACAAACAAACAAACAGCAAGAGGAAAGGTATGATACGTGTATTTGGTTCGCGTGTGCACGCGTATTTAGTACGTACGCATATGTACGCGCGTGTAAGTTTAAAACTTTAAACCAACGGTGAAAACGGAAACGGAAATGAATGTACGCGCGCGTACATAGGCGTGGACGAACCGAACAGCTGTACTGTGCCAGAATATGTAATATCCTGTGTTACGATTGGAAAAACTGTTGTAATTCAAAAGTATTTTGAGAGAGTATCCTTTCTAGCGACGAGTCGGAACTTAACCGGTTAAAATTAAGCAAGTAATATATTTATTGAAGTTAAAAGTGTGGTAAATTTTAGAAACGTTGGAATTATGTTTCATATAACGAGTTCATTGATTTTGATTCACATGTACAATCATATAATGTGAAATGATATATTGTGAACACTAAAAATAGGTAATGGACAAATTATATTATGAATTTGAATTTACAAAAGTTTAATTGAACGTTATAAATAAAGAGAAATACACAATTATACAGAGTCAGTCGGTCGGAGCATAATATTGTTGTTCACGAAGCTCTACTATAGACACAAGCATCCTTTAGAACCTATATACATATACTAATTCCGCTGATGTCGTTACAGTAGTTAATATTCTCTAACGTCGAACAAATATTTTTTGTCTTGCCTACCACAATTCGATTCAATTAATTTCAATTCTGTTTCGAAAACAATTCTCTACGATTAATCGGAGTATGTACAACATATTTGAATAGAAGAACACTATACTGAACACGTGGTGGAGATACGTTTGGAAAGTTCCAGAGCGGAAGACAGCAACGGTCATTGCACCGCAGATTGTTCTTTCTGTAAAATACCGTATCTGCGTTGCAATTCTTCTTCCATTGCTTCCAACTGTTCTCTGTTCTGTTCTTGCGTCATCTGCTCCATCAATTCGTGATTGTAGGTCGAGTGCAACATCAGGGCAAGCACACCGGCCCGGGAAGCCATGTTCGCTCGGATTTGCCTCTCCTGTTCCACCAATTCGTCTATTTTCAGCCATTGCCTGACTCTCTCCATGTCGATTTCTGCCCTTCGCAGTTTCTCCCAGACATAATGTTTCACGCAACTCTTTTTCGGAGCACGACAGAACTCTCCGGTAGAGTCGAACACGTTCGTAACCAAGGGACAACCACAAACCTCTGTCTCGCTGATTTTCGGGTCCTTGCAATGCTCCGGACACAACACGCGCAATCTTTTACAATAGGTTCGATTCGCAGGGTTGTAAAAATCACAGAACATCACCTGTCCCTCAATGCGCGTCTTGAAGATTGAGCCGAACGACGCTTGAGACTCGTACTGTAAATCAATTAAAATTAGCAAATTAAATGAAATTTGTGAAATGAATCATTGTTCAATTACCTTGTTGAAACATTTTTCCATGTGCTTGATAGCAGTCCTCGAATGAATCTCGTGGCCACAAGTGATACAGTACATACTCATCTCCGTGTCATCGTTGTCATCTACTTCCGCCAGAGGATCTATAGTTGCGTGTTTAGCCCGTTCTACGATTCTATCCAACTCGGTGTGCCTTTTGTCCAGTTCCTGAAGTATTTTTCTAACGTCCTGTTGCTGCTTCCTGACAGACTCTAACGCTCTTCTGTTGTTCTGCTCCGCGATGCAAGGCGTCAAAGACCATTCCTGTATCCGTTGAGGCAACACTTGATAGATTCTGTTGGTCGCCAGCTTCAATCCGCATTCGTCGGAACAATACTTGCTACCGGGTCGTGATTGTTTTGTGCAAGCCGGCCCGTAACAATGTCTGGGCACTTCCAGGTGTTCGTTCCTCTCATTGCTCGAATCTCTTTTCCGTTTCTTGATGAACTTGGAGCTCTTGTTGAAGCTCTTCGAGGGTTTCAACGGATCGCCCAATACTCTGCAAGTTCTCTGTATGCATCTGAGCTTCAGCCGTACCGAGGGTCCGAATTTCTTCAAATGTCTAGCAAACGAAAAAGAATCAGATGTGATTGATCGCAAGCGATTGTAATGTTGAATCTTCACCTGCAGGCATCGCATTTTCCACAATTCTCTGTTCTTAAGCATCCCGTACATTGTCCGCAACGTTTCGACGATTTCTTGACTAAAGTTGGATCCCAAGGCGCATCGTATTCGTACCTATGAGCTCGATCTTTCTCTTTCTCTTTATGCTTCTTGTACTTACGATCTTCTTGTTCTGTTCTCCGTGGTTTATACCGAGTCACAAGAGTAGGGTCCTCTTCTCTGCATCGCTGCAAGCACACTGTATTATAAATACACTGTCACCGATGGAAACAATTTCTATAGAATCAAAAGATTTCCTACAATGCAAAAAAATTGTTTTATATGCTTGGCATCCTTTTCTGTAATATTTATACAGTCACCATGATACCATTCTTCGCACGCGTCACAGCCACTGAAATTCCAGTAGATTCATTAATACATCTTACCGGAGAAAGATTCAGTAAAGGGCTATTACGTACATCATGAAACGAGAACTATCCGAGCTTCTGCAAATACAGTATGCTTGGCCATCTTGTTTCAACAAAGTAGCTATTTTACTTTTTCTCTCTGGTAACATAAACTGTTTAGCTATCTCTTCTTTCTGCAACAATATCATTTCACATTCAATTCGTAAACTTCTTTGCACAAAATGTATCCAAAACAGAAACAGTTTTATTACGGAGTAACACTTTATAAGCATATTACTCACCGACAGATTCTGTTGTCTTTTGTCAGCCATGATTTTAGATTATTGGTTTGTCAAATTTTTCGAAAATTCATCACTTGGAAAGCCTTATCACATCGAAAAATTTTTAACTTCAGTACCAATTAAACATAACAAAGCGAACCACGACCATGTTGAAGTTCAAACTCCAATACTCCCATCATGCTACAGGCACAGTTTTATGATTGAAGAAACATTAACATCGTTATTTTACGCAATGATGAACAGAACACTTACTATTTCTTTACTTCTTCAATCAAAGAGTAAGTACAATTGTCGAACAAATTTGAGGCATTGTATGTATTTACAAAATCAATCGGAGCTCATACATCTATGTATTCAACCATAAAAGAAACGAATACAAGAAGAACAAAAGATGGAAAAACTATTGTATGTAAGTTTTATTAGTCGGTTCTGTTGTGATTTAATTACAGTCTCAATATGTGTATATTAAAATACAATACATAAAACCCCTAATTTTGCCAAAATTAATATTTTTAGGCGACTCTACATTATACAGATGTGGACGACTGTAGCACCACTTATAGGGAAAAGGTAAAACTTAGTTCCATGTCCATGCAGCGCCAATTAGGATAGTTGCAAAACGTTCAAACTGTTAGCCAAATCCGACTGTTGAAAATTTGGTTAACAGTTTGAGCGTTTTGCCACTACCATAATTGGCGTTGTATGGATACCAAAATAAGTTTCAGTTTTTTCCACAAGAGGCACCACAGTTGTCCACATTTGCCAGTATATCTCTAACATATAGAACGTTAATGTCACCGTAAGACCATAATTGTATCCATCTGAAAGTATAGTTTCGGTCTGTATTGTTGAGATTGTTGTGAGCTCATAGATTAAAACAGCGGATCTATTATTTTTACTGCATCGTCAGTATGGTTGTCTCATACAATACAACGCTCCCATCAGACGAGGAGTTGACTACGCAGGAGATAACTGTTAGCTATCCGTTCCTGCAGGCAGCATCCTTTTACATTGGGAAGAAATGTGAATGGGATAACAATGTAAGCAGTCTCACCTTTCTCTAATTGTATTAATCTCGTTTAACTCCGACATTAGTCTTTAATCCCGTGTTCGAATATCATTCATTTCTGAAAGATTATATAACCTTCTTAATTGATGACTGTACATTTATTGTACATTACTGTACTATTAGATGGGTATGATAATTTTGGCTCCTTTTTCGAAAGAAATCATTTTTGTAATTAATTAGTTACTACGTTATCGTTCTACCTTTAGGAGTTTATGTTATGCAAACAAGAAACTAAGGATGCGCGGAAATGTATTCAGGAAGGAAGAAAAGTAACTGCCTGTGCATTAGAAGTATTTCGAGGTATCAAAAATCATTGCGAGAAGGAGTTTAATCAGTACGTGGATTGTATTGAACGATCCTCTGGTTCAATGGAATTCTCTCCGTACGTTGATTTTATTCTTAACAATTATTGAACAATAATTCAGAAAGAAATTTTTCAATTTAACTATTTGAATGCAATTAGATGTCGCAAAACTCAGGCCATTATAGATCATTGCGTTCTGAAGAATCTGGAAATAGAACGACCACCCTTTGGATACTTCTGTGAAGCTCGAGTTCACAAAACATTAAGACCAAAGCCAGAGGAGCCTAAGGATGAATTTGTTCTCTATAAAAGTCCGCCTGCCGACCCTAAACGCACGGATCCTTTCCTATTAAAACACAATATGAGAGGCCAAATGTTTCCATAGTGTAGTTGCAAAATGTTTATAGTCGTTACTGTATATGCTGGAAACTTACTGGTTTCTTGTATGACCAGAAATGGATACAAATATATGTAATTTATTCGTTGGAAGCTATATATTGCTGAGCAGAAATAAACATAAATCATCATGAAGAATAAGTTCTGCTTTACTGGTCGCAAGATGAAAGATTGTATTTATGAAAAAAGTATTGTTCACAGGTGGTTGGACAATGATCTACAAATAAGAATTCTTTCAGGGAAGATATAGGTGTGTATGCATGTGTTTACTTGAAACATTAAATTTTGGGAATTCTCGATCGCTCGCAAATGAATCGTATCGTTAATACCAGCACTTTCGCATGTTCTTTATTAATAGAACATTCCTTCACCGTTGTATGGCAAAGAAAGCACAAGACGACATTGATCGGCATTCTTCTTTGCCTTGCCGTACGAATCGAAACAATAATTCGTGGTAATAACCATTTCTAAATTCAGCAGATTTGCACCTTTGAGTTTGTTTTTGTTTTCGGTAATTACCCGTGAGCAACACACACGAAATACACAGTCAATCGGAAACATCATTTCTGGACTAACGCGACTATCTTCCTCCATGTAGGTCAGAGAATAAAATTAGTCCAAAAATTGTTTGCTGACAAACTATGCACGTGTGATATACAATATAAACATTATGTACATAATGGTAGAGTCTAAATTATTCGTGCAACCGTGTTACACATATATCACCGTTTGTTTCAAAGTAACTTCACGCCATACATCTTAGCAGAAATAAGTTTGGAGAACAGTCTTTGAACGTGTTTTTGGAAGAGATACGTTAATCAGAGTGGAAGAAAATAATAACTAGAAATGCAGAATAGCGTCGTTACTTGTCCGGTTGCTCGAATAATTGAAAGTCTCTTTTATCAGTCCTTTTACATCTTAATACACAGTGCTATGCGAGTACAATGTTCCAGGGTACAAAAACGAGCAATTAGCCTGCTAACCCGGAGACCTCACTTCTGCATAGCACTGCAAGTACAAACAGTGAGGCACTATGCAAATCTCTCACATATCACTTAACAGTATGTGGTTCAATTTTTCGCTCACAAGTTTTCTACAAGAAAAATTACAAGCAGACGAACGTTCGTGGGGGAGTGTTTGTTCAATGAAAATATTCACTCTCGGTTCTCGACGAACGTGTCATGGAAGCAATGAACTCGTATGATCTAACAAATCCCTCTGTTGCGCCGGATTCTCTGTTAGCTCCAGGTAATGTCGTAACCATTCCAATTCGGACTGGGTGCTAAATGTACTCTCCTGCCCTTGTAGAAAAATGTGACTACTCCCCGGTATCCTGTTCTGGGCACACCACTCTGCCAACAGAAATTAATAGAAATTTCTAAATCTATATCAGATCGAAACAACAAAGATAAAACGCGCTGGTAGTTACCCTAAAATCGTCCATCAATCCAAACTGCTTGGCAGTGATTTTATACGCTTGACGACTATAATAAGGTATTCGCACTGCACCAGGCGCAACTACTTTTCCGTTTTTTAATTCCAAGAAACTGACCACTGTCGATTGATACACCTCATTCACAAAATTTATATCATAGTTGTCCTGAAACAATTATTCCGTTGAAATCGAAATCTTTCTAGAATATTAGCATTGTGTTCTTACCTTCAACAAATAAGTCAAATTCATCTTCGTAAAATGCACGTATTCGGTGTTCAGCTTGATATATTTTAAATGTCTCTCATAGAACATTCCACTGTGGAAATAAATCAATGGGTTAAAATTGCAGCCATATTTTAACAGCTATGTCGATGATATTTTCAATACGTACTTGCTCACACCAGTTTTACCGAATGTTCTTGTCCTGGATATTTCCGGTCGAATACATGCTCTGTTGCGACGTTGTTCGGGTTGTCTTATCCAGTCGTCCCAGTATCTATTACAACGAACATTTAAGTACTCAATATTGAAGAAATCATTTCGAACAGCGAATATATTTTGTACCTACGATTTGGGCCATTTCGGTGACAGTTCAGTCCACAATTGACGAGTCAGCATCCAACCCAGACCAGGAAAAAAGTCGGTCCTGTATAACGCATCGGCTGCATTGTCATCGACTAAACCAGCTTTTCCATTGTCATTCCATGCCGACACACACCACAGAGAATTATCGGATACTAACAAGGGATATGTGCCCAGGAAGTATTCAAAAAAGTCTGGGGCTATATCCAAATCATCTTCCACTATTATCACAGTATTGTACCGAAGTTGAAAGAATACATGATTGAGAGCCCATCCATAGTGACGTGCAATTTTAAAGTACCCTTTGAACTTCTTCTCTTTCGGTGGTACTTCGATATCTGACTGATCAGGTTGCTGCAATACATTTAATACCTTTAGTAACCTTTCCAAATCCAAAATAGATGTACATGCAGCATGTCATACCTGTATATGCATTATTTGATCTCCGTATCTGGCAATAACTTCGGCAGTCTGATGATGTTGACAATCTTCAGAAACAATAATTGGAAACTGTTTTATGCTGGGTCTGTATTTGATCAGTTGATCGAGACATCTTTGTACTGTGATACGATTGCAAGAAAACACTAAGACTGCTATTATTGGAGATCCATCTGGTAGTTTTCCATTGTTAGGAACATTATAAGGAATTTTGCTCTGTTTAAAGAGATAAAGTATAAAATTTGCAAACATTGTATTAACAGTGCACAATGTTAACTCTTTTAAGACAAGATACTTTACCGAGTGAATCAATTTTTCTTGCAAATTTTGCTTATTCTTGTCATTGTTCTCGGCGTCTATCTTTTCTTTTTCATGTAAAACCTTGTCCTGGGCAATATCATTTTTGTCCTTTTGTTTCTCATTGGCATCCGTATGTGCGTTTATCACATTTAGCTTCTCTTCTCATTGAAACGGAGAAAATAATATTTACAGTGTTCTTTATTTTGTCCTAAGAATTATACTTTTAAAAGTTTATACAAACAGAGACATACTCTTACGTTGCTTGTCTTCTTTTATGTCCTGGAGAAGCTCCTGATTCAGTGCAATCTCTTGTTTCACTCTCTTTTCCAATTTACTAATTTGATTGGATACTCTAGCCTGAAACCAAGAGATCTACTAAACTTTCTAATTTCGAAAAATTCTTCCAAAAGTCTTGCGTATAATTATTAAAGCATGCACAGAATTATTTTGGATCAACTATTTTAAAGAAAATAGTTTTTCGATCTATTGGTACCCATCGACTCTCCGATCGCACAACTTTCTACCACAAGATTTGTTTATAATTTCAAAGAGCTTACTGTATCTCTTTCCTTGTTCACTGGCTGATCAGAGATTAGAAAGTATGTAATCAAACCCCATAGGACAAGAGAGCCAAAAATAATGCTGACTGACCTGTTCCGCATGGCAGAACCAGTGTCACCTCATCTGTAACATGTGAAGCAAATATGGATTATTTCTCATCTCATTAAAATCCTTAAGTACACAACAAAATGTGTCACGCTTCTGTAATTCTTTTAACAAATACTAACAGATTTAAGCAGAAAAAGCAAACAAATGTTTCAAGTTGTGTGTGTGAAGGATCTTTACAGTTGTTATCTGTAAGAGATAACAGAAAAGGAAACGCATCGCGGTTTTTCCTTTACTTTACTCGATGGAATCGTCGATTGAAAGAGTACTACTCTGTTTGCTTTTTCACTGTTTAATAAAAAACATGAAATCTTTACGTTTGTCACGTTAGATTATCCTATTACCTACCATTATGATATCCACGTAATCGCTCCTCGATTGTCGCTACACGAGGACGACCTGCATTCTCGCACACGTAAGCGATAATTGGCTCGCGATCTCACTGTCTCCCGGTTTACGATTGTCCGATCGGTAGCGACGAGGACCAGCCGTGTCGGTGTGTCGGTAAACGGCCTCGATAAACAATCTGCTCTAAACAAAATCGCGAAGTCTCACGCGCTGACAGGCTCCCGCAAACTCCATTGTTGGCCTTTGCGCTGGACGCGGAGAAAATTTGTTCGAGAAGGAATGCATCGTTTTCCCTCGTAGAAGGGCCCCGTAGAAGGATCTTAACCGTGCGGTGGAGCCACGTTGTATTCTCATGTGTAGCTGTGGCTTTCGCACACGCTACACGCGCACGTGCATACCTCCACACTTATTAAACTTATCGATTAACATTTCGCCATTATTAATCTCGTACCATAGTTGCATTGTTTGTCATCTTCGAATCCTTAGAACCGTGTTAGCAAATTAAATCTATGTATACAGTGAAATGTTATGCGACCGTAGCTAAAGCCGTATAACCGATCCATGGATTTGAATATGATATGTATGGATACAAGCATGCGTACTTGTATGCGTTATTAAACAGACTCGAGAAAGTATATTTTCTTTTGTTAGTTTTGTATTGTGTTAAATACAATTCCGAATACATAATTCGTTCCGCGTAATCTACACCATTAAACGAGAATTCTGGTAAGAATTATTGCGCCTAAATTAGATAATAGTGGCGCCGCTTGCGGAGAAAAAATGAAGCTTTGTTTGGGGTCCTTATAGCGCCAATTGGGTTAGTGGCAAACCACTCAAACTGTTAGCAAAACTAATTCCAAAATGTCCTGCTAGGTAGCACATGGACCATATTTCCGATCAGCTTAGTTGCGCCATCATACAGTAAAATGCTGAAACTGGTTGTCAAATTAATTTCAACGTTTTCCGATAGGTAACACGTGAACTATTTCCTCGGTCAGACTGGTTGCGTCACCTTCTGACAAAGTGCTAAAACTGACTGTCAAATTAGTTTTGCAATTTTCCGGCTGGTGACACCTGTACCATATTCCTGATGCCATCTAACGGAGAATGTTGAAACTGCTTAGTGTTTTTCCTTAGTTCTAAAATTGTAATGTAAGAAACGTTGAAATTACCCGGCGATTCTTTTTCGTCACACAGGTACTAGGTACAGGCTTACACAGGATGACTTGGGATTCGCACTGTAATAGAATTAGGATTATGACTTTAGGATACAGATTTAGGATGCCCAAGTCTAGGATCCCCATCTAATATGAAATCATTGTAACAAGAATCTTTTTAAATCAATCGATAATTTAGTGGCAACCATGGTTAAATCAATTCGAATCCCTGTGAAGCAGTTAAGTATATTTCGTATTCTTTCACCAACCAAGGTGCTAACGACTAAAGGAAATATAATTAGTACAACGTTCTATTTACTGAGACGTTAATAATAATAATAATAATAATGCTATTGTTAAATAGCAATAACGAAGCAATGGAAATTTATGCAAATTAAATTCTTATGCCTACGGTAATCTCCGTAGACTCGTATAAAATGTTCGGCCAAATTGTGCATTAAGTTGCAACGACAAGTTAGATTTCTAAAAGGAACTCTATTATCCACTTGACTAACGTTCGGCGTGAATACGTTCCCTTACTATGACGCGTACTACCTTTACTAGAATAACTACATTATTATGACTACACATTAAACGCGGCGTGTTAACAGTGTTGGGTTTAAACGAACAACTTTGCAATAATTTAATTGTATTATTCCCTTAGTTTACGTCCGAGTTCGCAATTATATTCGAATGGTCAAATAGCTTAGTAGCAGAAACTATACTCGTAATATAGTGTCAAATCGCTTTATAGTAGTGGTCGGTACATTGATAGAAAATCGTTTCTTCGTGAATCGTTTATATCCATTGCTACGTTTCAGAGAAACCGCGCATGAAAGATCGTGTGATTGTGTGTACATACACGCATACGGACGCTCATTGGGAACGTTCGAACGCACACCACGAAAAGAGAAATGCACACTTTCGAAGAGAATAGAACCAACACGGGCGCAGATTCTATCCATTGCTATTCAAGATGGAGAGAAAACGACGTATGTGTCTCGTAAGGTGGTTGTAAACAAGAAAGTCGGACGACTCCAGACGACTCGTAGGATCCTTCGTCGGAAGGAAAGACAACTGGCATACGAGATGGCGAAATCCGTATTGAGCTCGGACTCTCTTCCCAAAGCTGGTCGAGTAAACGAAGGTAAGATGACTGTTCTCGAATATCTACTGTCAGATCATGATCACCGATTAGATTGGCGATTTAATGTAATTCCATTTGATGCTATCACAGTTTGTCGGGAGTGGTTAGTCCACGAGGATGGAGCACTCGCGTATCGTCTGCAGGATGAAGAAAGTAGGTATTTAATAAAATAAAGCACATTGGAAAGCTCTATTCTTTCTAGAATGAACCGACCGTATTGTTGCTTCCAGTTAGAGAGCACTACACTGGCAATAAAGTGCGTAATGCTCAAGTGAGAGAAGATCTACCGAAAGCCAAGGTGGAACAGGAATTGGAATCATTGAGATACCAAAACTATGTGCAACAGCAGTCTGTATCCAATTATCGTTATGTGCTGTACCAACAGAGAATTACATAGAATGATTTTACAGGGAGGAAAAGGATGCTCTGGTGGCTAAGCAAATTGCTCTGGCTCTCGAACGAGAAGAAAGGCAAAAAGAAAGAGAATTACAAGAGCAAATGAGACTACAGTTGAGACTGGACGATGAAGTAACACAATTGGAACTTGAGAAACATATTCAAGAAGAAAAAGATGAGGTACTAGTATAGTGCTGTTTATCTTAAGATGCTAATAATGATATTTTATTGTTACTGTGTTTATTAATTAAAGGAACTAGCAAGGAAATTGCAACAGGAGGAAGAGGAAAATGCTGTAGACACTCATGATGGACCTGTCGATGAACAGTTTCTTTCGGATCAAAAAATTGCGATGGAAGCACAGGATGCGGAACTCGCTCGGATGCTTCAACAGAAAGAGCGGGCAAAGGCTAGGAAGGCCAGACAAAGGGCAAGGCAAAAAAAGCTAGAAAAGCAACTTCAGAAAGAGCTGGAGGACCAGAATGTTACCGAAAAGCCTCAGAGGCCAGACAAGTTGGACTTGAAGAGCACATCCGGTAAAAGTAGGATGCAGCCTCATCTAAACTATCCGGAATATCCGGACCCCGAGGAAATCCAAATATTGGACGACCCTATAGAGAGCATACGAGAAGTACCAAATGTAGCTGCAATTATTGATCCCACTTACAATGGGAATGTGCACCGGCATACTTCTAGTAGTTCAAGCAGCACGGTCAGTCCTACATACGCGTTACCTACACCACCGCAAGAGCTTATGAATGAAGATATTCCATGCTATATGCCTATACAAGGACAACGAAGAAATCAAATGCAGTCTCCTTCGCAAGTTCATGAAGAGAAACACAAGCGTAGAGTGAAAGACGGCTGCAAACAACAGTAAAACGATTTCAAGGTTCGAATACCACAAGTACTTTTTGATGAAAAACGTTTCGTTGCCATGAAAACATAATCTTAGTTATATATTGTAGAAGTCTAGAGCTTTCAAAAGGAAGCTCAAGTATAGAAGAATTTTGTCCCATTAAAAGCGATACTTTTTGATAGCGTGAAGATAAATGTGCCTTCAAAATAAGCATACGGTGTAAAATGAGATCAACGAATGTTTAAACGTCTATTAATATTTGAAGTAATACGTTGCACCGTCCTACATCGTAGATCTGCCTTAAATCGTGTACATTTGTATTCCATTTAAATACGATGATATTTCTACTGATACGGTATTTCCCCCGTAATTGTGGAGAAAGTATTGTACATTGCACTATGCCAATAGAAAGATTTTTATGAGGAAATAAAAAGGGCATAGTGAAATACACAATATATCAGAATTAAGGACGAAGTAATCAAATAAGCAAACAGAAATGTACAAAAGATTAACTATTTAGACTGAATTATGAAACGATTTAATCAAGACAGGCTTTAATTGAATCTAGATACACGCTCTCTTCGCAGGAAATTTTTTAAGTAGATTTAATATCAAGATGTGTTTACTTTTTAGAGAGAAATATTCTCTTTTAAGTGCTTGAGGTGCAGCGCGAGAAATAACTTACTGCCAAAGATGACATTATTAGCGCTCACTTTGAACCCAAATGAGTTTAATTATTAACAAAATAAAAAGCAAATGAATTTTGAATGGTGTGCTTTAACAAAGTGCTTGGCACTTGATAACTTAATAGCTTTTTAATAAGTTGTTAAGATTCAAAGATGTAATAAAGTATATTATATTAATAATCTCTGCAACAATTTTCCAATATTTTTAAGTTTGAGAAGCAGAATTTTTACGTTGTTTCTACTAATCTACGAAATGATTAATATTCAGAACAAATATTAGAGCATTTAAATTTTAGTATTATTTAAATAGCAGTTTAGTATTTAAAATATAAACATTATATTATTTATGGTGTTTGGAAATGTATTCGATAGAAGTAGTATTATTTTTTACATTTATTATATGAATACATCTATACATGGGTATATTAATAAATTATTTACAAAGCTATAATACACGTTATCATCAAAAACCCCATACACATATTAATATAACGTACAACAGTAAATTTATTCCGTGGGTTTGTCTGTGTGTGAAAAAGAAAAAAATTATAATGATTAATATAATGTAACAAATATATTTGACGAATAGTATATAAAAGTAATCCTTATGATATACAAGTACTAATACTAGCTGCTCGTTCGACATAATTTTGTTTCATTTTCTGTACAGCTGTCTACACGTTTCGAAATTCTATGGTAAGGAAAATAATAAAATAAGTATAAAGTGTACTTGAACAACAATTTATAGATTATACAAAATAATCTTTCCAACAAAGCACACTCTCTTTAAAAATATGCTCTACACAAAATATCCTATTAACGTAAATTTTAAGCTCAAAGATAATACGTGGGATCGTTCACTGGTATAACATATTCAATAGCAAAAAGAAACTGTTCGCTTTTTAAGTAACAAAGTTTCGTCTCTCATGGTCCCATTTATCAAATTCTATAACCTACNAATAATCGTCATTTAAAAAAGAGATTATTATTACAGGAAGAAATATTCATAATTTTTAACCATTATAAATATGACGGTGCATAGTCCAATTAAAGTTGGAGAACTGATTAAAAATGAAATGCTTTTAATTCGACGTGCTATTTGATCTTTCAGGCAAGAAAAATTTTGTTTTACAATGATTTACAAAAACCCGAACTCAATTACCCGTGGTTTTAAACTGTGACTTTCTCTGTACAATATGCTGTAATTCTTCCTCTTCTGATTCATCCTCACTCATTATGGGAATAAAGCTGTTTAATCTCCTGTTTGGACAATAGAAAAAAAGAAATTAGTATGTAACTATAATAGGTATTATACAGAGTATCCTCGAGCATACTTCCGGAGGACAAATTTGTTTTTTTTTACGAACCTAAATTCGTATCTAAAATTTGGCGATTTAACTCGGAAACATTCTGTATATTCAACGAAAAATCAATGTACAAATATACAGAGTGTGTATCATAAAGTAAAATAAAAAGGAAAGGAAAGTGTATAAGCCAGAGGTTATATACTTATAGACAGAGCAGATAGGAAGCTGGTGCTAATAATTGAAAAAATGAATCTAATTGAAAAGTAACCACATACGATTATCAGGTATTATGGTCTTCGACCTGGTATGAGGCGGAGAAAACACGTAATTGGGCACTTCTTTAATAGCTGAAATATTTCAAACGGTATCATCAACATTCAATGAATAAAAACAGATCATCAAACATATATTAGAAAGAATACCTTTCTGATCCAATGGTGGATCATTTGTCTTGTCCGGTTGAGAAAACGAGAACTGTTCATTAGCATCTTGCTTGGCGCTCAGCCTTCGGGTAACCTTCCTTAGTTTTGGGGTGACTTCGATAGTCTCTTTGGTACCAGCATCCACCGAGATATCCTTCCCCTTCGCCATAGTTTTTTTAACGTTCGCAGCTTTTGCATCTACTTGAACCTCCACGTCCGTCACTTCTTCTTCAGCTATAGTCTGTTTGAGTATTATGCCTTTATTGCGGGTACTCCTAGTTCTTTTAATTGTGTCTGCCTGTGAAATTTCGACGCTCGCAGCTCTTCTTTGTCTAGGGAATTGCGTAGTCTGTTCCTTGTTGCTTGCAACCGATATTCTCTCCTTCAATGGTACACTTAGTATTTCTTCTAATTCTTCAGGTATCGACTGTATCGATGATCTTCGATTTCTGGCATTTCCAATTGGACTGCTTACACTAGCCATCATTGTATGCTTTTTTCTTGCCATTACCAATGAAGACTCAGAGTCTTCCTCTGGGATGATGTCTTTCACAACGCTATTCGCTCTACGAGTCCTGATGGTGTCCACTGTTTCCTTGGGCACAGAACCAGCACGTCTTCTGGTCGACATAATAGCAGTGCTCTTTTCTTCAGTTGCTTCTTCGTTTGTCTTCAATTCCTTCTCTGACCGTAACGATCTGCTACCTGCACTTGGACCCTTTGTCTTCGAGCTTTTAGTCTCCAACTGTGACTTCTTCTCCTCATTCTCANATAAATTATTTACAAAGCTATAATACACGTTATCATCAAAAACCCCATACACATATTAATATAACGTACAACAGTAAATTTATTCCGTGGGTTTGTCTGTGTGTGAAAAAGAAAAAAATTATAATGATTAATATAATGTAACAAATATATTTGACGAATAGTATATAAAAGTAATCCTTATGATATACAAGTACTAATACTAGCTGCTCGTTCGACATAATTTTGTTTCATTTTCTGTACAGCTGTCTACACGTTTCGAAATTCTATGGTAAGGAAAATAATAAAATAAGTATAAAGTGTACTTGAACAACAATTTATAGATTATACAAAATAATNATAAAGAAATTATCAAAAAAAAAAAAAAAAATAATCGTCATTTAAAAAAGAGATTATTATTACAGGAAGAAATATTCATAATTTTTAACCATTATAAATATGACGGTGCATAGTCCAATTAAAGTTGGAGAACTGATTAAAAATGAAATGCTTTTAATTCGACGTGCTATTTGATCTTTCAGGCAAGAAAAATTTTGTTTTACAATGATTTACAAAAACCCGAACTCAATTACCCGTGGTTTTAAACTGTGACTTTCTCTGTACAATATGCTGTAATTCTTCCTCTTCTGATTCATCCTCACTCATTATGGGAATAAAGCTGTTTAATCTCCTGTTTGGACAATAGAAAAAAAGAAATTAGTATGTAACTATAATAGGTATTATACAGAGTATCCTCGAGCATACTTCCGGAGGACAAATTTGTTTTTTTTTACGAACCTAAATTCGTATCTAAAATTTGGCGATTTAACTCGGAAACATTCTGTATATTCAACGAAAAATCAATGTACAAATATACAGAGTGTGTATCATAAAGTAAAATAAAAAGGAAAGGAAAGTGTATAAGCCAGAGGTTATATACTTATAGACAGAGCAGATAGGAAGCTGGTGCTAATAATTGAAAAAATGAATCTAATTGAAAAGTAACCACATACGATTATCAGGTATTATGGTCTTCGACCTGGTATGAGGCGGAGAAAACACGTAATTGGGCACTTCTTTAATAGCTGAAATATTTCAAACGGTATCATCAACATTCAATGAATAAAAACAGATCATCAAACATATATTAGAAAGAATACCTTTCTGATCCAATGGTGGATCATTTGTCTTGTCCGGTTGAGAAAACGAGAACTGTTCATTAGCATCTTGCTTGGCGCTCAGCCTTCGGGTAACCTTCCTTAGTTTTGGGGTGACTTCGATAGTCTCTTTGGTACCAGCATCCACCGAGATATCCTTCCCCTTCGCCATAGTTTTTTTAACGTTCGCAGCTTTTGCATCTACTTGAACCTCCACGTCCGTCACTTCTTCTTCAGCTATAGTCTGTTTGAGTATTATGCCTTTATTGCGGGTACTCCTAGTTCTTTTAATTGTGTCTGCCTGTGAAATTTCGACGCTCGCAGCTCTTCTTTGTCTAGGGAATTGCGTAGTCTGTTCCTTGTTGCTTGCAACCGATATTCTCTCCTTCAATGGTACACTTAGTATTTCTTCTAATTCTTCAGGTATCGACTGTATCGATGATCTTCGATTTCTGGCATTTCCAATTGGACTGCTTACACTAGCCATCATTGTATGCTTTTTTCTTGCCATTACCAATGAAGACTCAGAGTCTTCCTCTGGGATGATGTCTTTCACAACGCTATTCGCTCTACGAGTCCTGATGGTGTCCACTGTTTCCTTGGGCACAGAACCAGCACGTCTTCTGGTCGACATAATAGCAGTGCTCTTTTCTTCAGTTGCTTCTTCGTTTGTCTTCAATTCCTTCTCTGACCGTAACGATCTGCTACCTGCACTTGGACCCTTTGTCTTCGAGCTTTTAGTCTCCAACTGTGACTTCTTCTCCTCATTCTCAACTGCTATGCTCGAGGAGGATGAAGCCCTGCTGAACTTCGACGTCTCTGGTACTTCTTTCTGCACAGACGCTGCTCGTCTTGTGTTCCTCCTCACTGGAGCTTTGGATTCTTCCACTTCATCGGTAGGAGAAACATCTTTGGAGGTTGCTTTTTTGCCTCTAGTTTTCCTTGCCGGAGAAGTGCCTGAAGAGTCCTCCTCATATTCCTCCTCCGTGGGATAAACGTCCTTTGCTACGGACGAGGCTCTTTTGCCCCTGGTTTTTCTTGGTGTGTTCGATGGCTCTTCTTCAACTTCTTTCCCCACAGGATGAACGTCCTTTGCTATGGACGACGCTCTTCTAGCTTTAGTCTTTCTCAATGAAGGAGACCGTGAGGAATCTTCTTCCCTTTCTTCTTCTGCAAGAAGAGTATTCTTCGCTATTAACGACGCTTTTTTAACCCTCGTTTTCCTTGGCGTACTTGGCGAAACTTCTTCCACTTGTTTCCCAGTAGGAGAAACATCCTTTGCTATCGAAGACGCTCTTCCACCCCTTGTTTTCCTTGGGGTAGAAAACCCTTCATCTTCTACCCTTTGATCCTCTATAAAGGAAAGATCCTTTGCTACTGAAGACGCTCTTCTACCCCTGGTCTTCCCTGGCGTGGAAATCCCTACGTATTCTTTCCCTTGATCCTCCACGAAGCTAAGGTCCTTTGCCACTGAAGATGCTCGTCTAATCCTTGTTTTCTTTGGTGTAGAAACTCCTGCATCTTCTTCCCCTTGATCCTCCATAAGAGGAAGGTCCTTTACCACAGACGACCCTCTCCTACCTCTTACCTTTTTCGGTGTAGAACCCGTTGCATCTCGTTCTCCTTGTTCCTCCATGCAAGAGATATCCTTCACAATCAATGAAGCTCTTCTCCCCCTTAATTTATTTGGAGAAGAGGTGCCCAACGATTCTTCTGACCCTGAAGACCCTGTACGCTTGATGCCTTCCTCTGCAGTGGTAATGGATGCAATCAGCACCTCCTTCATCAACGAACTTGCTCTTCTTGCTCTTGTAGGAGTCCTTGGAGCTGTCTTCGTAGGAGAATTAATCACGGACGATCTTATTTCCTTCGTTATCGAGGAGGCTCTTCTGGATCTAGTCATCCTTGGTGCGACGTTATCGATGGCCAGAGAGGGCTCTTCATCAGAGTCATCAGATTCTACTTTATCTATTGTTGCTGCAGCTGTAGAATTATTATTATCGAGGAGCACCGACTCTTCAACACCTTTCCTAGGGTCTGCTTGAACACTGGCATCAGATTCGTCGTCGGTGATGTTCGCGTCGTATTCATTGCCTCTGCAGACTTGCGCCGTTCTAGACTGCTTCTCCATTGCGTCAGAGGTGTCTTCAAGAGCTAGAACCATCTCTTCGGCACAGTTAGAGGACTCGTCGTCGGTGATGTCGAAGTGTCCACCGTTCTTCAGATCTACGTGCTCTTGCACATTGTTGCCGACGTCGTGGGACATACGCGACCAAGAGCGTCGTCCCCTGTTATCAGATTGCAAAGAACTGTTTTCCTTCACGTTAGGGAAGCTTTCAAACTCATAGTCATCTCCTTTATCCTCGGTGTAGCTAACATTCATCTTCTGCTCTGCCAGGTCTTTAGAAATGTTTCCATTTTTATGTTTGTTCAATACGTTGCTGTCCTTGAACCTCAAGTGATTAGATTTTGGTAAAACCGGAGACATGGTCTGCATGTATGACGACGTGTCCAAGATAGCATCCTCTTCTTCTTCTTCTAGTTCCTCTTCGTCATCGATGTTCATCGCTTCTTCGCTGTTCTGGTATAATCGCTCTTGCTCCAGGGAGTTAGAAACAATGGACGCATTGGCGCAGTTGGACGTGGTTGCCAGTTGCGTAGGGATTGTACTGGATCTTCCCAGAGGTTGCCTTATCTCGAAGCTGCTGTCGGGTGAGAGCACAGCAGATGAATAAATAGAAGCAGAGAACCTTGAAATACTTCTTCCATGTGTTTCTAATGTAACTTTCGGCGAAGTTGTGTTGAAATCTTCCAGTAGGCTCTTCAGGTCCTGAATCGAGTCTGTAGAGGTTTGCAGGTGAGATCTCCTGATGCTTGGTCTGGGACTAGCAGTCAACATGCTGGTGTCCGATAATACTGCGCTCTCCATAAGGGATTTCTTGGACTCTAACGAGCCGAAGAATACCTCCTCGTTCTTCTCAGAAGCATTTATGTCAGACAAATTGTCCTTAACGCTGACCTCATCCACTGGTATAATCTTTTTCGTGTGGGAGATGTTGAACCGTATTTGTCTGTTGATCTTCTTCTCTTTATCAGACACCAGGCTATCGGTGACGTCAACGTTTATGGGACTAAGACTCGGCTCCGAAGATGTCGAGTTTCGTACAAGCTGTCTGATTTTCAAGATGGAATGAGGGGTCTCGACACGGGTGTCCATAAGAGACACCTTCCGCTTCACCAATGGAGTGCTAAAGGCTGCGCTTATGACTGCTTCTCCATCGTCCAGCAGTTTTCTACGCTTTATCTTCTCCTGTGTTCTGATCTCAGTATCCTCTTCGGTCTGCACCTCATCCAAGGTGCGTTTCCTATGTGTCTGTACGATTTTTGGTGACATAACACAGTTCATGTTAACGTGCATGTCGTTTGGCTTCAGTGTGGTGCATGGAGCAGTGATAAAAGGAATCGCAGCTTTCTCTTCCCTGTGAAAGGTCTCCTTTGCCTTCTTGATGACTGTCTCATAAATGTTCGTAACTCGTTGAAAATTCTTGTTGTATGTCATTGGCCTTGGATACTTTGGCTCCGAGCTGACGTCTGAGCTAGCTTTACCCATACTCATAGAAAACTTCTTCATTATGTTGGGCAAAGTTGCATTGTAAGCATTCAACATGTCCATATGATCATTTCTGGAAGCTGTAGGACTGAATCGAACAGCAAAATTGCCGCTGTTCGCTTCCATATACCGACAGCGTTGCAGATAATACAGCAATCTTATGTCCTCGGACTTGCTTTCTTCTAGGAACTTGACAAACATCTCTTCTTCCTCTGTATCCAAAGCCAGGTGTAAAATATCGGCGAGTTTGTTGTAAGCTTTGCATGACTGAAAGAAACACATTAGTAGTTGAGCATAATGGGACTGTGGTCTGTGATGAAAGGCTGATTGAACCAGACCATGCTCCACCGATAAACCAATCAATGTGCTCTGATCCTGAACAGACGATAAAGGAGGCTTTTTTATGCGCAAATACATCAGAGCCAATTTGTGTTGATTGTTTTTAATTAGGGTTCTCAGAACGAGCTTGTGATGCCAGTCTTTGACATCGGAGTCAAAGATCAACTGTCCGGTCATCATGTCTAGGAATCCATGGTAGTCCTCATGGTCCAGAAACCAAAACGCTTGTGTCAACTTTATAATGCTAGAGCTCATTTTGAACGAAGAAGGGTACTTGATCAATTGATCCACGCCGGCATAAGAGCCTTGCAATAACAGGGCCAAATCCATTAGAAGATAAATGGTGATCTGATGCTTGCATTCCAGCTTATCTGCCTCTGCTTGGTCACAGTCTGTTAGATAACTTCTTAATAAAGACTGCAACGATGGAGGAGGGTAATAACCATTCGCAGACAAGTCTCCGGATTCCCTTTTCCATTGCGAACTCAAAGCAGGACATTCCCGCATTATCAGTTCATCAATGAAGAGCACCTCTTTGTCCTCGCTATCTTGTTTATCGTTCACGACAGACTCCCTCTTCTCTTTGTACAGGCTATACAATTTTTCATAGGGGTAAGGTATCTTCAATGCTGCAGACATCGGTGTTTCCATATCTTGCGTTTCAGGCAACAAGCCTGCATCATAGAACCAGAGAAGTACCTGGAAAAATATCGACACACGTTTCAGTGCTTTTCGTTGCTTAACTAAGCTACTGGTTTCTAGCGGCAGCTTTGACACCACATTCGACAAACATTCCAGCTGCTGATAGCAAAATCTCAGCGTTTTTAGCTCAGACTCTCCAATGTTGTTACCGGACTGGTCGAACAGAGGCACGCACAGATGATCACCGATCGTCTTGATCGTAGCTGCACGTTGTATACCCCACTTCAAGAAGCTTGGATACATGTACGCTGCGCTTCCATCTGACCATTCCTTGGCACACCTTATTAAAAAGGTTGCCCAATGCTGTTCTAAACAGAGGGACAGCAGCATGTCCCGTTGGGCGTTATGGTCACTCGAGAAGGACACCTCTGTGTTGAATGGTACCAGACCAACAGAAAGGCACTTGTGAAACATTTCAGAGGGTTCAGTCAACATAATCGGACCAGCAAGAGCCATTTCGTGGAGCAACTCGGCTTGAACACCACGAGACAACCAAAATATTAGCTTCGATAAACCCAGTTCTATCCACTCCAGTGCTAGGGAGTTTGGATAGAACAGTTCCTCCGATGAACTTAATTTGTTGTTTGGAAACTCTTGCAGAGTGCGAGGAACGTAAGTGCAATTAACTATGCCGTTATTCGTTATATTAGCCGGCCGAACTTTAGTGTTATAGCTGGCCAATACACTGTTGGGATTCTTGCATTCGCTAATGGTTCGAGGCATCTGCTCTTTGTACCACTGATTCAAGTCAAACAACAATGCCCGATTGGTACTGGAAATCAATAATAAACTGTCTTCTCCCCGTTTGGACTCTGGCTCCATTTGATCTAGATTTATTTCTCTTTCGATGGCTGATAGATTGACCACTCTGTCGTTTGCATCCAATTCCAATTCGAATTTAAGGCTTGGTTCTGCTTCTAGGTTGAAATACAAATTTGTTCCTCTGTCGTAGTATTTCCGCTCGAACAACAACGCGTACATTCTCAAGAGAGGAGGCACCTTAAACGATTCATCTTGAAAAACGACCCATAAATAGTAGAAAGGTCTGGGATCGTCGGCTGGTTCTAACAACGTTAAGTGCGTTACAATCATAGTTTCGTCCACCGGTAAACTTATCCAGCCTACAGAACCATCGTTCTGCCATATTATGACTCTGCCTAAACATCCAGATATCAAGCAACCAATTTTCGTGGAACTGACGATGGAGTTTGTTAATCGTTCATCCAGGAAACCGGTCGATTCGAATTCTTCCCGATTGAATCCAATGTGTTTTTCAATGCCTAAAAATATACGAATATAGATAAACGTATGATTAGCAAGAATAAATAAATATTACAGAGATTCTCTTACGCTGATTCATTAAGTTGCAAACCATGTGTTTGCTTTTATTCAACTGATTCCTGTGAAGAGAATCTTTCGACGTTAGAAACTCTATCTCAGCCGGAGAAGTCTCATCCATGAGAAGAGACAAATCATCTGGTGCTTCCCAAGTGGATCTTTGAAGATCGATCATGAGATGATGAAGATTGCGTAATATTATGCAAGCTATCCCATCCATTTGCATTAGAAAATTATCTGGTCTTTTTTCATTGAATTCTTCCCATTCTGTACCACCAGATACGATGCAAACCTGTTCAACTCCCACTGGCATCTAGAAAAATATAATATCGGTAATGACTTCAAACATTTTGCAGTATTTCGATATGAAACATACTTTTATAGCTCTCAGAACACGGGAGGTACTGCAGTCAAAGATGCACACCAAGCCTACAGAATCTTTAATTCTAGTGGCATCGTTATCTAAACCAACTAGAAGCAATGGTAACTCTCCAGGCTGTGCTGGAAATTGACATGCACAAGTGATCTTTCCTCGAAATGCCCATGAGCTGATACTCTCACCAGTCCTTGCATTAAAAATTATTATATGAGAGCCGTAGCTTAACCAAGCATATTTGGCATCGCTTAGAAAACCTCCGCAGTGGTTATCGATAGCACTATATAATTGTGAACCATTAGAAGGTCCACTGTCATCTCCTTCTGCATTATTGGATCTTGACAAGAATGTATGCTGGATATCTATAACGTTGTGAATCTGTGCATAAGGTAAAGAGGTAAATATTAGATCGAAAATATTCATTGCACTATGGACATAAATAATAGCAATACAATAACCATAAATATTTTGAATATTTACAGAAAAAAAGAAGAATTACTTGACGATAGGACTTACTTCACAATTCACTTCTTCCAACTCTTTCATTTTTCGGAGACAATATTAAAGCACAATGAATGGGAAAAAATCATTTATATCTCCTTTCGCTAAGGTCACCATAAGGTTATGTTACCGCCAAATTTCAATGATTCCGTCACGTTTCTACGACAATGATTATTACCAGCTTGTAGCCCGTATACCCAAAATATCATTTAATAGAGTATCTATGACACCATGTAATTTAGAAACATGTAAGAAATCTTGGTGTTACATTTAAATCCGTTTCACCACTCGTGCATTCATTTTAAAACCGCAACTATACAACTGCGAAGTACGTTAAGAAATATTACCAATTACACGCGTGCTGCCAACTGCATTTGAAAATAAGCGCGCATTCGGAATATGTATATCATTTAAAATAGTTGTTGTTTCTAAATTTCCAATATTCTCTGCTACTCTATATAATCGAAATTTCTAGAAACTACCTATCCTCCAGCTTTAATTTGAGCTCAGAAAAATATTATAATATTCTCCCTACTTTTATTCTTACGATTTTTCCACAAGACCGAATGCAAATTTCGGCAAGAATCATTCGTGACGTAAGAGGAAGCACTAATAAATAATTAATTCTATGACATCACAAATATAACATCAGAGAAATTCAAAGGAGGTCTCTAGCACTTTGCTTATAATAATTGTTTGCATACACGAGTCAGAATTAATTAATTACAAATTATTTTCAGTTTTATGTTCACCGTTGAATTTTGGAACAAATGATTCGTACCGCATTTCGCATAAGAAACCGGGTAAATTCCGGCACGAATTTTCTGCTGCTCCTAAACAGCCGAATAGCGCCACTCCAATGCAGCGGCAAAACGCTTAAACTGTTAGCCAAATTACCGACAGGTCGGTAAATGCCTTGAAGTTGACTGCCAGCGCCATCTGTCGGCAAACAGTAAGACTTCTTGGTCAGTATTTGGCTAACAGTTTGAGCGTTTTGCCGCTGCATTGGAATGGCGCTATTCGGCTGTTTAGGAGCAACAGAAAATTCGTGCCGGAATTTACCTGGCTTCTTATGCAAAATGCGGCACGAATCATTTGTTCAAAAATTCGATATTAGACATAAAACTGAAAATAATTTGTAATTAATTAAACTAGTGCAAAACCTAATCCAAAACTATCATTCCATGTTGCCAAAGATCCATTCTATATTTATCAATTGCAAATATTTACAAATCTGTCCTGGTTAATGAGTTACTAACAATTTCTTCGGAGGCTACTTCGAAAAGCGGCTATATCATGTCGTATGTACATATTCTAGAAATTCGGCTAAACGAAGGAGTGGAGATGGTGGGTGCGAATGGGATGTATGTACTAGAATTGGTGGTGGTGGTGGGGATTGGAAACAGTTCAAAGTGGACGCGGACACATACCTGCACAGCACGCTGTACACAACTGTACAGACCTCATTCACACTCAACCTCACTTCAGTCAGTGAGCAAAAAAGTGTTAGACACACTTATTTGTGCACTACATACTGTAGGTAGAGTTATGTAGAGTATTTCGTTTGAAAGTTGAGAGTTGAGACTGAATTGTTCAATTAGCTGATTAGCACTCGTTTGTTTATCACTGTTTATCACGACCTGTAACCTAAACACACTGGTTGCACTACGATGGCTTTTAAAAAAGATTTGCAGCGTCTACAGCAGCCCTATTATTTAATAAACATTCTACTCAGCCTTTCGTACATCGTTTCAAAACGCATTCCTTTTATTTGTCATTACATGTTCGCGCAAGCAGAATGCGAACTCGATGGGGTAAGTCAAGGAAAGTTTTCCGTTCTTTCGTAAAATGACACTCAATAACTTATCGATAACTAGTTTCTTTGTGTTTTAGAGGGAAACAGAAATCCTATTTTTTCTTATGATTGTCATAATGATAAGGTCAAGGAAAACTGGAAGCGTGACCATGATAAACTACCTCTCATCCAGCTTTGCATATACCAAAGTTGCCAATTTGATCCTTTGGCTTTATGCTGACATTCGTATGGGAATACTGTTCGCTATTTTATTCACTTGTGCGTATTTATTTAGTAATGCACAACTTATTCAGTTCACTACATCAATTTGTAATTGTAGTGTGCGGTTTGGTGTTTCCTGAACCAACTTACAGAGGCCCAGAAGAAATAATATACTTGCGCAGTACAAGTGGTTTGCAAGAAGAATTGCAACGGGACACGAAAGTTGTTTGGCTGGTTGCATTCTATACTGCATGGAATCCAGCTTGTGTTAACTTTGCACCCATATTCGCTGAACTTTCTGCAGAGTTTGTTCATTTCATTTAATACGTTAATATTCCCATGGTATATTAAGACTGCAAAACTATTTGTACCTCTTTCAGATATGTTTTGCCAAATTTGAAATTTGGAAAAGTAGACTTAGGGAGGTGCCCTGATGCAGGATCGAAGTATCATATTAGCGATGCTAGTACCAGCAAACAACTTCCTACCTTAATTCTATTCAAAGAAGGTAGAGAGGCGGATAGACGCCCATACGCGGACCATAAGGGAAAACTGGTTAAATTTCTATTCTCGTTGGTGCGTGTATTACATTTTCTTGTAATACATTATTTTGCTATACGCTAAACAACAAAACATTACCTTGCAGGACAACATAAAGGCAGCATTCGATCTAAACAATCTTCATTACCATTGTAAGAACAATCCGTTGAAGAAAAAAGACAGAAAGTCGGTAAAGGCAGAGTGATCGGATCAAAGTCTCTAGATACTTGTTAACATATGTTACCGACTTCATAGTTGATTTACAAACTTAGGATCTGGTTAACTTCTACTGTGTAGAACAGACAGATTTAGTTTACCAATGTCTCGTGCAAATTTTAATTTAAACAAGGATACGAATATCTGTACATATTTCATTGTATGTTTTATCATCGTCGCATTTCATGCACTGCTGTATTCTATTAGTAAAGAATGGGACATTAGTATAATTACGAAGATGCTATGAAAGTGCCACACGTTCAGTATGATTCGTGTATGTGGAAAAATGTTTCACGTTCTATTTGTTCAAAATAACGTATAGCTTTTAATTACACGTTACATATATATATACAAACTCGTCTTTGTCGCTTATATACAAACTCGCTTTTAATTACACGTTATATATACAAACTCGTCTAATAACTCCTTGTGATTTTCATTGAAAATAAACGATTATTGAATTGTACGTTTTTGTAAGGCTTTGCTGCACATCGTGTGCCGTATTAAATTTTCATATATTACAAAATTCAGGAATATATAAATGCAGGGTAACTCGATAAAAACTTGAGTGTCTATTTTATGACACTGCAGTGGAAATTCTTATTGACTCACCCTGTGTATACAAATCGTATACATTGGTAATTTATGTATAAAAATGATTATATAGGTGGCCAAATTGCCGCGACATCTCCATGCGCAGATTCCGGTAACCACTTCTGATAGGTGGACAAAAGAACTGAAATTAATAAGAATTTCTTTTGGTCATAGAATTATCTCGCAGTTTTGTCTATAAAGTATATACTTACAAGTCTTATCGTTCTTCCACATCTCGAGTAATTTTTCTTCCGACATGATCGCATGGGACAGCAGTAGTTGAGACATTTCCTGTGTTCGCGGCACCAATTTCGCCCACGATTTGTTAATACTTTGCGGTGTCGAAAGTAACGAAGGGACGAATCGTTTCAGTTTTGGACAGACTTTTCCTTCCAAAAAGAAAGAAGCGAACCGCTTCACTCCTTCTATGGTCAACGGATGTTCCATGTCCATCGTTGGTAGTTTCCATCCAGCCCTTCCTACAGTTCCAGTGATACTGCACATAACTTTTCCAGTTTCTGTATCGTACCATGGTTGTGGATCGGTCAAGGGTTCTCCAAGTTGACAAAGGGAAGGAGCGAATTTTGGTAGCCATTCTGGTTCTATGGCTGTGATGCCACGCATGTAGATTTTATTGGTCTCGTATATCTCCTGGTAAACTACCCATTCAGGACACGTCTTGCGAAGAACGCAAGATGAGAGCATGAACACTGGGTCCTCCATGTCCAAGGTTTTGTAAGCGTATTTCCATTTAGCCTTGTCCTGATCTTCATTGACCTCATCCGGCATCACCTTCTTCGCGACCTGGTCAGCCATTCCAGCCAAAATGATTTGCCTGAGCAACTTGACTTCGGTATCGCTTGGCGGTTTCATTTTTGGATCGATCGTTAGATTAAGATCCTGTATATTCAAGTTGATCTCATTTGTGAGCTGCTGCCGAAGCTTCCTGATCTCTACCACTGCTTTGTGCCTTAAACCATGCTCCTCGCAAAATTCAAGAAGTTTACCTTTAATTCCAGCGTATTCAGCTGCTCCTACTGCTCTTATCAGAACCATTGCATCGCCTGCATTAAAAATACGTATATTTGTATGAATAGGTGACAGTTTCTGGTTTATCTTTATTAAATGTATCGAATTAATTTACCAAGAAGTAAACTGTTTCCTGCTCCAGCCCAATGACGTCTCATTTGCAGCCACTTCGTTTTTGCACCACCATCGGAACCGAGGGCCTCCACCAATACTTCTTGAACCGAAAACGCAGCAACCATGCAGACAGTGTACTTCAAGAGATCATGCTGATGGGATAGGGTCAACATCTTTCCAAAACGAGGAGCAACCGGAAATGCGGCGATACTGCGACCAAGGGGTGTAACTTTTGCGCTATAGGAATTTTCTTTGTCAGGTAAAGGCTGGTACAATGCGCCAAGGATCGACAACCTTGTTTCAGCTGTTTGCAGCTGTACGATATCTGGTGGAGTTGGAAATGGGAAATTCACAACTTTGTCGATGTTCATCACTTTCATTTGTAGCATCAGATCATCCACTGGCTTCCGTTGAATTTCCGATTGACTGAACTGCTCAAATTGATTGTTGAACACCGCCGAAGAATATAATCTATAGCAGTGACCAGGACCAGTTCTACCAGCTCTTCCTGCTCGTTGATTCGCCGATGCCTTGCTAGTATAACAGATTCTGTAGGTGCTTACACCTGTTACCTTGTCGTACAGTCTTGTTTTACAGCGCCCACAGTCTATAACATACTTGACATTGGGAATAGTCAAAGAAGTCTCTGCTATATTTGTGGCTACCACGCATAAACGATAGCCTTCCGGGGGAGGTTCGAATACCTAGAAACAAAGAACACGTTTTAATTTTATCTAATTAAAATTGGAGATCATGAGAACATGAATTATGGAATTACCCTGGCTTGCTTATGACTTGGCAACAAAGAGTAAAGAGGCAGTACCCACAATGGCTGTGCATTCGAACAAATATTTAGATCAATAACATCATCGTTCTCATCCTCATCTTCATCCTCGTCTAAATATATTTCGTCGTCATTTTCTGCTCCGATTAAATCCTCGTGTGTATCGTCGGTAGGAATTACATCGTAACTGAAAATTAAATACATAGAATATAACTATAAGTTGGAATTAATATAAAATTATATATGTCTGCATACTCGTCCAGATTAATATTTGGCAATTGAATTTGCTTTTTCTGTTTCAATTTGTTATAACGTAAAGCCTCCTTCGAAGGAAACTCATCTTCCGAGTCTTCGTTATCATCGCTCTTGTTTTGAACTTCTTGCTCTTTGATGTCTTCTCCATCTTGTGCAGTTTTCTTCTTTAACACCTTGTTAAATTTCCTCTTGCTCGTTACAGGGAAAGCTTTACGTAATTTGCGAACAATGAGATTAACTTCTTGTTGACCTGAAGCATAAATGCATTTGTCAAATGGTGCAGGTAACAATTATTATGAGGCATACACACCTGTTAGAAATAATAAAATACCACCATCTGGTAAACGAGTATGAATCTTTATCGCCTTTCGCAGTGCATCGGTGACATAATTGGAGCTAGTTCTGCGATTGAAGTGTACTGTAACTGGAAACTGTCTAGACTCCACCGTTAATACCGGTGGTTTCACCTTAAATAATCTTTTATTCTCTACAAACTCTTCCACCCTCAAAGTGGCTGACATTACCACCAGCTTCAAAGGATTGTTCCTCTTGTTCCGTAGCGGTACTATTCGTGACAATAAACCTATTAAGATATCAGTGTACACGCTCCGTTCATGCGCTTCGTCCAAAATAATCACAGAATATTTCGTTAACAGAAAATCCTACAAGATTGATAACTGTTAAATGTTTTCTTATTATGATAAACTAATCGTGAAATTATTACATACAGTTTGTAGTTCTTTGAGTAGAACACCATCCGTCATAAATTTGATTTTTGTCTCTGGCCCGACATTTCCCTCGAAACGAATTAAATAAGAAACCTCTTTCTGCGTGAGATTCATTTCCTCGGCCACACGTTTGCTCATGGACATAGCAGCTACCCTTCTGGGTTCGGTGACTCCAATTATCTTGTCTCGAGCATACCCAGCTTCGTAAAGAAATTGAGGTACTTGGGTGGTTTTACCGCTTCCTGTTTCACCAGTAATTATTACAACGGGATTCTCATTAATTGCTTCCACGATAACTTGTTCCTCTGCTACCACTGGTAATTTTAGTCGAGCTGCCTGAATTTCTGGCTTTCTTTGTAACATTATAAAAACTGCAGGCTTCTTTTCTACCGGTGTTTGTAATTTTTTGGTTGTTTCTTTTTCTTTGTGGATAATCTCTGGCACATTTTTCTCAAGATTTTCCTTTGCATTGCCATTTCCAACTTCTATTCGATTATTTTTCACAGTATTTTCTTCCTGTTCAGGCTTATCATCTTCATTACTGGATTCGCTATCACTGGATTCCTATAATGTATACTCATTAATGTCCTGGACAATAAAGACTAATTATTAACTTACATCGAATCCAACAACATTTGGATGAGATACAGTATCGTCCATTTTTCTCTCATCTACTAAAATAGCCAATCTCCTTTTCTTTCCACCTTTAATGGAATTTATTGGCATTTCTTCGTCTTCGTTTTTACAATCATTATTTATTTTATCATTACATTCCTTTATAGATAAATCTACTTCTCTAAAATGGCGTTTCAAGCCTTTGGTTTGGACAGATGTTAATGATACATATTGCTGTAATTCTTGTGGCGTTGCTTGAACTTTTGCTAATTCTTCTAAAAGTGTAGCTCTCTGTTTACAAACAAAATTTACATGAATCAACAACACAAATAAAACTGTGTTCTGTACATAGAACAACGTACTTGTAACTTCTTCTTTTTCTTCTCAATAACATTTTCCAATTGTTTTCTACGCTTTTTGGATAATAATCGTGTGACAGTAACTTTTTTAACTTTATTCTTCGTTTTCCTCTTCTCGTTCGGAAGAACTAACGTGTTACAATTATCATAATTATCTTTCCGGTGTTCAATATCCAAAGTAATCTATATAAAATGAAAATTTAATATATATACAATTGATCTCTATTTTCTATACAAAATAGTCTTGCAAAAAAATTATACTGCATTGAAAATACCTTCTTCGTATCAGAGTTGTCAATTTCAACTTCCCCGCTATGTCTTGCTTTCCAATTGAACCGTTTCCTTCCCATGATTGATTAACGTATATATAAAGTACATATATATATAAAGTATATATAATTACAAATAGAGGTTAGCTTTTTGATTTATCCACGTGCTTCGAAACACATGTACGTATGTAGTAGCGAATATAAATGCTGTTTTATCAACACTGTATTATAATTTTCTATTTTATTGTCTACGTAAATATCGATTTAGTAATTTATTAAAATAATTAATTCATTGACACTTTGTATAGATAATTCCTTTATACAATGCTACTCTCCTCCTACTTACATCCCATACGCATCCACCCATTCCACTCCGTTTAGCCGAATTTCTAGAATATGACATACNCTACTCTCCTCCTACTTACATCCCATACGCATCCACCCATTCCACTCCGTTTAGCCGAATTTCTAGAATATGACATACGACACGATATAGCCTCTTTTCGAAGTAACCTCCGAAAAACTTGTTAATAACTCATTAACCAGGGCAGATTTGTAAATATCTGCAATTGATAAATATAGAATGGATCTTTGGCAACATGGAATGATAGTTTTGGATTAGGTTTTGCACTAGTTTAATTAATTACAAATTATTTTCAGTTTTATGTCTAATATCGAATTTTTGAACAAATGATTCGTGCCGCATTTTGCATAAGAAG